CAGTTTTTTATTATAACAAACAGAAAAACAGGGTCTTAATACTGCATCAGGTAAGTTAAAAAGTAGTGTTGCCAACTCTAATAATATAGTCTATATATGGACTAAAACGTTACAGCAGTTAGAGCAGCCATCAGGGTTCTCCATTTTTGCTTAATCTCTAGCTTTAGAATTAAAATTCTCTGTGCTACTATGATTCTTTACCAGGAATAGGCATGAAAAGATTCATTTAAAAAGGAACTTTCAGCAGTTACATGGTAACATGTGTTGAGACATTATGGGCTTTATGTTGTGACTTCTTTACTGGAAATGAACATAACACATTTTGTTACAAGCTATAGAAAGAGATGAATAAATGATTCATATTTTTAAATACCTCTCTTCTTCCTACAGGTCTCCAAAACACTTGAGGAATTTGATGTAGAAGAACAACCAAGTTCTCTATTAGAAAAACGATATCCCAATATTAAAGTTATACAGTCTGGAGTAAAACAATTGAAAAGTGATGAACATGTAAGCTAATGTTTTCTCTTTTACTTTTATGTGGGTTTTCAAATTATTTAAAAAAAGAAAATCTAAGGAACAGCTGAATATTTTGGGCATGAAATTCTGTTGAAGAACATTCTGATTATTACAGTGTTAAGTTACCAAAATTAAGTGAAATTAAAGTTAGGAAGTATTTTCTCATATCACTGACACTGTTGTTCAAGTAGAAATACATGCAGGGGACATAATTGTTGATCAAAAATTACTTGTTAGTTAAGAAACCGTATCTTTTAGATTTAAATCTTTAACACCTTAGAGATACTGCATTGAATACCTGGTTGGAATAGCAGGGAAACCAGTCAATGAAACCAATACTGTATATCCATACAGGTGTCAAAATTTCTGTAATCCTTGGTTGGAGATCTCTCGGGTGATTCCTGAATCACTGCTTATTGCTACAGAGACCAAAATAGTAACAACTTTATGATAAAAAAAAAAAAATTCTTGAAAGAACTAACATTTCCACCTGTCCTTCTTTCTTTTTAGCAGGAAATATGTTGCGAGTATGAGCAATGTACAGCACACACAGACCCTTCTTAGTGTCTGTGTCAACTCGACATGTTATTTTTCACTTCAGCACTTATCAGAAACTTACATTCAGATCCAAAACTGGTTTTGCTCATTTTAAGACACAGAGATATGATGCCAGTTAAATTATAATTTTGCTAATATTCTGAATCGAATTATATTCTTGTATCATTATTATAATGTTGGTTTAGTTTAGGTATGTCTATGTGAACATGAGTATTTCATATGGATTTGGAGGATCTTTTGCCTCTGTTTTCTGAAAACCTTTAAAAACTCTCTTTGTGCAAAACCACTGTAAACTATTTAGCTTATAGTTTGGAAAACAACAAATAAGGTCATAAAATCTTAAATTTTAAGTATTGCTTGTTGCAGAATGATGTAGTGTGTTTAGTGCCTACCCTTTTTCTTTAGCAAAGAACAGAATTTGTGGTCTTTCTAAACTGTATTCTAGCCTCTGCCTAGTTAAGTTAATACAGGTCTACCATTGTTGAAATGTTTTGAATGAGATTCTTAATTGCTAATATATAGTAGTGCATAGGTCTACATCTATTGCTGGGCGGGGGGACATTGTCACATAGAAAACTGATTCTTTTAGCACAGATCGTGAGTACATAGTGCCACCAAGTGGTAATCTTTACGTTTCATCTTTCTTTGAGTGTACAGTGTACACTTTCCATTGTATCCATCATATAACGTCATATATTTAGGCTTGTAAGTCTGTGGTGAGTGTAATGCAAATAAATGACATGAAGGCTTGCTCTTTAAGAAGCCAGTTACAGCTTTTAATATCTGCAAAAAACTATGACATTAAGGAAAAAAAAAGCTGATGTTCTCTTAGATGTCACCAATTGTTTTTTCTTTTCTCTTAATTTTTGACAGAAAATTTTCACTGAAGATGGGAAAGAATATATGTATGAAAAACTTTGCCTGTGTGCTGGAGCAAAACCAAAATTAATTTTTCAAGGAAACCCATATGTGTTAGGAATCCGGGATACTGACAGTGCACAGGTAAATGTGTTTTGGACTTAAAAGTGTATAATATATTCCTGCTTATGATGCAAAATACTAACAATGATAGCGGAGTGAAATGGAGAAACATAAGGTGATGTTTGTTATTATACGTTCTTAAATAGGAACACTTTCAGAAGCAGAGAAATAGCCTTAAAATATTAAATAAATTAATTAATCACTATATTTATTAAATTTATCGATAGCTGCTCATAGACAATATTTCTAACATGATAATCTAGAATAAATGGTATTCTTTTGCCCTCCAGGCAGAAGCCAATCTGAAAATATAAACAGAAAGTAGGCACCAGTAGAAACTTCCCTGAGAAGGTATATTTGGTACACGGTGGCTACTTCTTACAATGAAAAGCTACCAAAGGACACCTTTTTCTCGTTCTATTGTAGCCTCTCCTCATTGCACAGGAAAGAGTTACAGTTATAGTCAAAGATGTGGAAAAGTTTTCACATGAGGAATGACTTAATAGGCTAAAACTTCAGCTTGGAAGTAGGAAGTGAGGTTTCACTTCTATAGGTCTTTAGAATTAGAGGAGGCAGGGTGAAAGTGAACACTGCTTCTCCGTAACATAAGAACTGTAATTCATCAAATGAAGTTTGATGTTGAGAATAAAAAAGGAGTTACTTTTTCAAGCAAACTGAAGTGAAACTATGAAATTGTTGTTGTTTGTTTTGAATATTAAAACTTTACCCGAGTTTAAAAACAGGAAAAAAAAGAGAGAGGAAGAGGGAAGAAAAAACACACAAAAAAGAAAGCCCTTGGTAAATTTATCTTGTCTAAATTGAAGAGAAAGATGCCACCTGAGTGGCACCAGTGGTGTCTGGAACCTGTGAGGGTGTTCCAGGATAGTATTGTTGTGTGTTTATCATCTTCTGGTGGTCTTCCCTGTGCATCCACTGTTGGCCACTGTGGGAAAGACAAAACTGATGTTGAAATTTGAATAAGACTGGAAATACTTGTTTCTGTTTTTTTTTTAATGGTGACTGGTTGCATTCACTAGTCCCGTCTGATAGAACTTCAGTGCCCTTCTCTGAAGGGATTAAAGGACTGCAGTTTTCACGGTCTTTTACAATTTAGGTTCTCTGATACAATTAGTCAGGTAAACATGGATGAACAGATTTTCATGTAATTGCAGTAGTTGGTTTGATAGTCATGATTCTTGATTTGTTTAAAAGAAAATACTTGAAGTGGTTATATTATGATCTAAAAAAATACTGTCTGGGCTATAGTTTTTATTTCACCACTAAGATGGATTTGGAGACTTGTTTCTTTCTGAAAGTTTTTTGCGCAAGTAAAATTCGTTCTTTGATTTGCTACAAATTATTTTTTAAATTCCTGATTTTTTTATCGGGAATTTTTAAATTCCTAAATTTCTGTATCTTTGCCTTTTTAATGTTATGCAAGTTACTGTGAAAGTTATGCAAGTTGTGATAAAATTGGATTAATAGATACCACAATGCTACTGGTCTCTAGGACAGAGAAAAGTCTCCTGGATTCTATTAAGTGCTCTGTCAAATTGGCTTAAATGTAATTATTTAACTTCTCCTGTCTCAATTTGAGACTTGTAAGGCTGTATCAGTAACTTCATCCCTTAATGTGATAGAACTTAGAGGTTTCATTAGCTTCTGTAACAGATCTTAGCATAAGAAAATGTGTATCAGTAGTCTGAGAAAATAAAAATAAGACAACTAAGAGAGCAAGAAAATATTGAATAGGATGTAATTGATCAGTATGAGGGAACATATGATCTAACTTGTAATTGACTTTTTTTTCTTTCTTGATGCAGGCTTTTCAGAAGAATTTGGCTCAATCTGAGAGAATAGTAGTGGTAGGAAATGGTGGGATTGCACTTGAATTAGTGTAAGTAAACAACTAAGTTTTAAAGATACATATGCAAATAAAATCTTTAACAACGTTATGTTAAATCTAGTGTGCATGAGTTTGGGAGAAGGTTGACTTATAAAATTGTAGCTCTTAAAGCATTTAGTAGCAAAATTTATTAAAATAACTTTTTCACAGTGTAGTAGTTCTTACTGTCAATTCACCAAGCTTCAGAAGAAGCTTTGACACATAGATACCAAGAATGTACAGCATTTTTCTGATTTGGCACCAACAGAGATTGCTGTTAAGACTGTTAAGGGCCATATTTAAATTATAAAACTTGTCTGACTTCTGGAGACAAGATGTAACAGGAATAGAGAGGCAGCTTATCTTGTACCCAGTCTAATTGAAGTTGATAGAGCTTTTGAAGTGTCTGACGTGGCTTTTGTGACAGGTAGGATATTGAACCATGTGGTTTTGCAGTCTGCTAGATTACAGACACATCCATATTACACAATTATATGGTCTTGTTTTGTGTTGCAGGGAATAATTTTTTCACTTTCACTAGATTGTCCTCTGCATGTCTGTACCAGTTCATGTTCCAGGTAGCGCAAACAAGATCCAAATGCCTGTTCTTAGAAGTGGGCAGTCTGGCAAAAATGCGCATTTTTTTTCATTGTGGGGAACAGGAAATACTAAGTATTATTACAAATTTGATCTGCCTCCCCTCACCCCCTGCTCTGGTTCAGTTGAGGTTGTGCTGGTGAGAAAGTATGACCTGTCAACTTGAAGAGATTTTTTTTTTTTTAATGTGTTCCTTATGTAAATATTTAGAAGCAGTAGTGGATTTGATAGGCTTAAGAGTCTTGGATCCCTTGTTTCTAGCTTCTGGAATGAAACCTGGCATGCTTCTAGTTGCGTTGCGAAGAGTCAGGTCCCTTTTGGGTAGTCTGTCACTTTATCCACTGTTTGAATGTCCACAGGTATGAAATTCAAGGCTGCGAAGTAATCTGGGCTATCAAAGACAAAGCCATTGGGAACACTTTTTTTGATGCAGGAGCAGCTGAATTTCTCATTCCAAAGCTAACTGCTGAAAAACGAGAGACTCCAATTGAATGTAAAAGAACCAAGTATACGATGGAAGGTATGGTGTTTTAGACTCCTAACACTGCAGCATTTAATATTAAAGATAGTCCTAAGATCAGTTAATTTAGCAGGCCGTAAACAAGGTTCACTGTTATCATCAGTGGTGTTTCCTTCTTTAAAAAAATAAAAGTAAAAAAGCAATATAAAAACCCATCCAGAATTGTTGTAGGCACATGACAGCATGTAATAGTTACCTAAAAACTGTTAAAAATGTGCTTAGCTTTATAGCTGTGCCAAGTTTACATTTCATTTCCTGTATTCCATCTGCTGAAGAACCTGTTCTATTTTCTGTAATATTTCAATGTTTTTCTGAATTATGTCAGCATTATGTAGGAAGAAGCTCTCCCATAATAAGCTATTGGGGGACCAGATGAAACCTCACAGAATGTTATTACAGATGCAGTGAACTGCAGTCTTAATCAAACAGTTGACTAGAACTGCATGATCAAACATTACATAAACATATATATGACCAAAATAAAAAAAAGAAGAGCATGGTTCTAGACTTCAGGTTGGAACAATAAATTGTAAAAGGGTCAGCCTAAACATCACAGAATGGCACCCAAGGTTCTTCAAATGTGTCATGGTATGTTAGAATTTGCACTTTCATGCAATGGAGGGGAAGGTGCACATTTGCTAGCAGATGGACATCAATTCAAATATTGGCATTGATATTAAGCAATTAAGTCTACCATAGGTCTTCAGAACCCTGGTGCTGTTGGGGGTTGGTCTCGATGCAGGCACCTAACAGTGGCATGGTTGTTTTGGAGATGAGTGAAGTAATGAAAGGCATAAAGTTGAAAGGTGTTAAAAATACTGGCTTGGAGTTTGATTTGTCTGCAAATTAATGGGTTTTGGGACATTACACATTTTTGTCTTCCCTTCTGGCAACCAGATCATATTTCTCTTAATAGAGAATCCTTGTTCTGAATTCTGTAGGCAATGAAGTATGCACACTAAATCTGATGTTCTCTGTCTCTTTCCTTCAGGAAATGAGGAAAAGGAAAGACCTATAGCAGCATCTGACAAGCTGGGTAGTGCCTTAGGCCCTGATTGGCATGAGGGCTTATGTCTTAAAGGGACTAAAGAGGTATGGTCATAATCTTGCTTACACATTTGTTTAAATGTTGCTTGAAGTGGGAAAGGATGACAATGTGAAATGTCACATTCAGGATTATTAGAAAAATAAAAACAAAATATGCTTGAACTGATTCTCCTGTTTTTTCAGAATTAAACAGGAAAATATGTTAACACAAATAAAATAATTTTCTGCTTGAAGAAGATCCACTGGCTTAGTTTTAGCAATTTGCTCTTCAGATTGAAACATGAATGTTGGTTTGCGTATTTCTGTAGGACTGGTGTCAATCCTAGTTTTAAGCAGAAGCAGAGGTTCCTCTATTGTCCTGATTTTAGCTGCCATATGTACATTTCCCTATGTGAAAAAATAGGACAATAGGGTTTGTACAGAGGTACAGGGAACATCAGGCTCCTATCACAGCAGATAATGAAATGTGAAATCAGTAGTGGACATGAGCATTGTGAAGAGTTTCATGTCTGAAATAAAGTAAAAATCCTCACATTTCATAGTTTTTTATCAGCTTTTTATTTATTAATTTCTTAGCTGTTAGGTGTTTGCATCTGTTACACTCATTTGAAAAGAAAGGTCTTTCAAAGGTGATCAGTCATAGATTCTACAGAAATGGCTTTACAATACCAACTAAAGGATGTTTAGCATATTCAGCAGAGTAATCGGTGGTATTTTGGCTGTTGAAGGCTGTGGAAGTGTGTTTGTGAGTGGAGAATAAATCTGTCCAAGGCCTGAATCCACAAAATAGTTTAGAGAAACAGGTAACTTTCCAACATGTGTCTCGAGCTCAGAATAGGAGTAAGTGGTTGAAACATGGCTTGATGGAACAGGATGTATTTTCTTTTTCTTTTTACAGTTTTTTAGAACATAAACTTATTATTGTTGTCAGAATTTAATTCATGATAGAAAAATGAAGGATTTGAAATACTGAAAGATAGAAAAGATTAATTTACTTTTTTTCTGTTCTGAGAAGTTCTGAATTCTCTTCCTGTAAACTCAGGAGAACTTCAATGTTTCTGGCATGCCAGAAAAATCTAAATGGTCATGAAATTTCAAGGAACATCAGATATCTGCTGAAAAAGCAGGTAAATTGCCATTTGCTATGGTTAGATCTGTGCCAAAAAAGGAAAAAGTGTGGGAACTCAGCTAATGCATCATGCTTTGGGATGGGATAGATTGGGTTTTGGGGTTTTTTTTCCAGTTTATTAATATTTATCAATTTACGTGAAGGTATACTTCACATATACTATTAAAAATATTGCTAATCATTATGTTTACAATTTGTTAATCTTTCTTTAGTTTTCTCATAAAGTACATATTGAAATACTATGTGAAGTAAAGAAAATACACTTACAGCAAGAATTTATACAACTGCAACGGACTTCTTTGACTTTTCCTAAGGAAGAGAAAAATGTAGAACCAGATAAGGGTAGGTGCCAGTGCTGATTAGAAATCACATGTTGAAGATAAAGCAGTGCTGGAGCATATTTGATCTTGTTTGCTGTTTTAGAGCAAATACAGATTTGGAAAAAAAATCCTTTATTTCTGTAAATTAAATGGAGCTCTAGCAATTTATAGTAGTTGAGAATTTGATTTATGGGCTACAATTGAATTACAAAATGTTATGGGTCAGACCCTTTTTCCACAAAGTCACCTTAATTCTGTATGTAGAATATTCCCTCCTTGTGACAGTCCAATAAAATCATATATTAATAGTGGAGTTAAAACAGAAGGAAAAACAGAAAAATCAGCATCAAAACTGATGTAATCCATCAAAGAAAGTAGAAGAAAATATCACTTGTTTCATGAATAATTCTATGTATAAATTCAACTGAATTAAAACTGATATTTAAAATACTATTTTAATAGCCAGTTACTTTCAGCATAAGATTCTAGGAAGTCAAATTTCTGACATTATTTTTGCTTTTGAGGCATTTCCTGTGCATCTGTAAATTTATATGTAAAAGAATATTTGGCAACTGTGTACTTCAGAGAAAATCCCATGGGTCTGAAGCAGTGGCAGGACACAGTATTTTCCCCCTACAAATGAGGGCTTTGATTTAGGAAAATTCCAGAGAAAGTTAATAGTAGGACTTGGAGCTAAGCTCCAAAATCTCATTTTTCTTGAGTGAAGGTAAGAAATGTTACAGGTAAATTCTGGTTTTGGGTTGGTTTGGGGTTTTTCCCCCCCCCTACCTAATCAATTAAATATCTCAAAAGATTATTTTTTTCTTCTTTTTATTTCATGTCTTACAATAAAAGACATCATTAATAAAATAACTTCTGTTGGTTACATTCTCAGGGCAAAATTTTCCCCTTTTTCAGTGCTATGGCCTGTATATGTGGAATTAACTAATGGAAAAATTTATGGATGCGATTTCATTGTCAGTGCAACTGGAGTTGTGCCAAATGTTAAACCATTTCTTGATGGCAATAATGTAAGTATAGTGATTGCTTTTGACGTTTAAGCTGAAGTTTTGGGGTTTTTTTTAAGTAAGGTGAAATAAGCTCTTTCAGCTGGTTTATGCTTCTGACATGAAACATTGATTGATAAAGGTTTTGAATGTTGTACGGCATTTCAAAATAAGGCAGGTATGTTGATATTGGAAATACCCAACATGATAAAAATTAATTTCATTACTATTCCTGGCTTATTGTATTGCTACTCATGATATGTAGTGATTACACAGTATGTATACAATATACACTGTTAAGATTAAGCCTATACAAAGAGAGAAAAACATTTGTATAATTGGTTAATGTGGCAAAAATTTAGAATAATTTTTGTGTTAATTCTGCACCATATTTTTATCTTACAAATCTTAAAATTTTCTCCTGGGAAGGAAGCAGTTATTTCCAATAATTTTCATGTAGGAAACTGAGCTATAAAGGTGCTCGTATTTATTGAGGGAAGTCACACTTTGAATCAGCATCCGAACATGGGCGATGATTACGGAGTTCACAGCTGCCATGTGAATTTTCAGGCCTTTGAGATCATTCTGTCTCCATTTTAGGTGTCTGGTTTAACCCCGGCCGGCACCTCTGCACCACACACAGCTGCTCGCTTACTCCCCCAGTGGGATGAGGGAGAAAGTCAGGAGGGTAAAAGTGAGAAGACTCATGGGTTGAGATAAAGATAATTTAAGCAAAGCAAAAGTTGCACGCACAAGCAAAGCAAATTAAGGAATTCATTCACTACTTCCCATCGGCAGGAAGGTGTTCAGCCATCTCCAGGAAAGCAGGGCTCCATCACGCCTAACAGTTACTTGGGAAGACAAACGCCGTAATTATGAACGTCCCCCCTTCCTCCTTTTATTGCAGAGCCCAACGTCGCATGGCTTGGGGTATCCCTTTGGTCAGAGGGGGTCAGCTGCCCCAGCCGTGTCCCCTCCCAACTTCTTGTGCACCCCCAGCCTTACCACTGGCGGGGCAGGGTGAGAAACAAGCAAGGCCTTGGCTCTGTGTAAGCACTGTTCAGCAATAACTAAAACATCCCTGTGTTATCCACACAATTTTCATCACAAATCCAAAACACAGGCCCATACAAGCCAGTATGAAGAAAATTAACTCTATCCCAGCCAAAACCAGTACGTTAGGATATTTGGTGTTTTGGCAGTTCCTTCTGATTAGGAAGTAAAATGCTATCCTCTAAATAAAGCAGAAGAAAATTATGAAAACATACATCTGATGTTGAGCCATGAAATATTCCAAGGCCTACGTTACGAAATTAGATGAGGAATTAGGTATCTGCAATGGTATTTTCTGGCCTTGGCAAAAATACAAAATGAACTCTTAAGACTTGGTGTCCCTGTAACATACATAGTGTGTGACTTGAAATTTGGCAAGCTCTGTAACTTCCTTGCCTAGGTATCAATAATATTTTAAAAACCTATGCTGTGTTCTAGAAACAGTGGTTAATGCTTTGTATCTTACCACAGAGGTCTTGCCACTCTATTCTCATATTAAATAATTTTATTCAGTATGTAATGCTATTCTAAGCATTTTTAAATACATAGTTTGAGATACTTGAAAAGATATGTGAAGGTCACTTGTAAAATGCAACACTGATCTGTTCTTAAACCTGGTGAGAAAAGAATGCAGAGATTGCTAGGAAATTCTGCTTTTGTAGGCTAGTTTTGTCTTTGCTTATTTGAAGGTTCTAGGTTTGATAAGATTCAGGATAAATTCTGTGGGGGCAGGGTTGCATTATAATATGGTGGACAGCTGTGAAAAATACTTCATTCTGGCACTCTTTGGGGAATCTGTTTTCTCCCCTTGAAGATGAAGGAGTCTTGAGATTTTGAGGGTTGAAAACCATGTTTCTCTTGTGGTTATCAGTCTTTTCTAATTGAGTCAGATTAGATGGGAGAATGAATAGCCACTGTTTACACTGAATGATTTTCTCTGTTGCTACATGGCATCCAGAAGAGCATCTTGCTGGTTCCCATAGTATTTATTCATGCAATTTTATATCTTCAAATGTTTTGATTAAGCAGAATAGTGAATTTGGTGAAATTTTTTTAGGTGTCTGCCATTAAAAAGTAACAAATGAGATGACTGCTTAACATGGATGAAGTTGAATTGCTTACTTTAAATTATTATTTTTCTTATTGCTGATCTGTGCAAATACTTTAGTTTGCTGTAGGTGAAGATGGAGGTCTTAAAGTAGATAAACACATGCACACATCCCTGCCAGATATATATGCAGCTGGAGATATCTGCACAGCATCATGGGAACCTAGTCCAGTGTGGCATCAGGTAAATCAAATAATACGATTGGGCGCTCAGCAGCAGTCTAATGTACAAAGTAAATTATCCACTATTACACAGATTATAAAAGAAAGTTTAATGGAAGCAGAAGTCAGTGAACAAGTAGCTAATCCTGGTGTGTTGATGACAGATAATTTTATTTATGTGGCTGAAAGCCAAGCTGTGTTCAGCCTTTCTGAGTATAATGAAAATACATAGTATGCATTGATGAGAACAGTGAGTGTCGGTCACTGCATAGTGACATGTATCTGTGTTTTTAACTCTAATTTTTTTTTTTTTTTTTAGATGAGACTGTGGACTCAAGCTAGGCAGATGGGATGGTATGCAGCAAAATGCATGGTAGCAGATACTGTAGGGGAATCTATTGATATGGATTTCAGCTTTGAACTATTTGCTCATGTTACAAAGTTTTTCAATTACAAGGTAAAGTAAATACAGTCTAATAGTCCTAAACCACTGAGTAACACACATACTGCTTGCTTATATTCACTTGCCAACACTGAGCAGATGCTTTAATATGACAAAACAGTTTTCTCTATATAATGATTAATCTTAGTTTAGACTTTCTCCATTCATACTAACTTTGAATACTGAAACTGAAGAGGGCCAAGATCTTTACAGATACATTACAAATTTTAATTGGTGAATGACAACTGATCTACTTTGCATCTCTGTATATATATTCCATTTCATGTTCATGGATAAATTCAACACAGCTCAGCATGGTAACTGGTTCATTATTGGTTGTTGTGTAGGATATTTCAAGGTTAAGATTTTTAATTGTTAGGTTTGAAAGCCAATGGGGGGGGAGGTTCCCTAGGGACAAATATTTCCCTGTTTACATCAGTCTTTTGAAGCTTAGAACTGTTATCAGCAGAAATACTAAAAGCCACTGCAGTGATCTTATGAGTGCTTTTTCCTTCTGTTAGGTGGTGGTTTTGGGAAAATACAATGCTCAAGGTTTGGGTTTAGACCATGAACTGATGCTGAGATGTACCAAGGGACAAGAGTATGTTAAAGTAGTGATGCAGAATGGCCGAATGATGGGAGCTGTGCTGATTGGTGAAACGGACTTGGAAGAAACCTTTGAAAACTTAATTTTAAATCAAATGGATCTCTCAGCCTATGGTGAAGATCTCCTGAATCCAGATATTGATATAGAAGATTATTTTGATTGAACAAAACTCCATTTCCATTTTGTATGAAGTTTTGACACCAAGTAATATGTCTCATAAAACTGTCCTCAGGATTATGAGAAACGAGGGACAAATGCGACTCCTTATTAAGATTTTTGTGTTGATCTTGTCAAAATACCAGCAAATTAAATGAATCTGTGTAGAAATGCAGCAACAAAAGCAAGCGGATTAGTGTTGGCAAAGAGCTTTCATCTAGATTAGATAACAGCCCTGTTCTCTTATGCTTAACAGTCTTAAGAAGTGGGCTTCACTCTGCTGTTCAGATAGTACCGCTTTCAGTTGAATGTGAGGCAGCCTTCACTTTTTAAAAGTAAATAAAACATATTAAATCCCATGATCCCTCCTTCCCCAAACCATGCATAATTCACCTGCCATGGTTACCAGAGCCCTGTTTCCCATGGCTTACTGCCATGCATGTTCCTCATATTGATCAGTAAGCCACCCTTGTGAGCCAGGGATGCCTTGATGTGATGGTGTCGCCTTACCTGCCTAAAGCTACCTCCGCACTTGGGCGGTGTAGGTACTGGCTAGGGTGGGAAAGCCCTGCTTCCTAAAACCGCTTGCTCAGGTGAACATTTACAAGGTGGTCAGCCAGTCTGTTGCCATCCCCTAGCACCCCTCCACTGCCCAGGCCTGGGAGTACTCCCCACGGGTTTCAAGGCTTCTGTTCCAGCTAATGGTACCAGCTCTGTCGCGCTGGCTCAGATTAACAGATGGCATCTTGAAGGCACAGGGCGCTCGGAGCTCTCGCTACCTGGAATGTGATTGGCAAATATACAGCAAGATGGATGCTTTTTTTTTTTGCTTTTTTTTCCCATAAGTTTATTTCTGAAATAAATGTATTTTCTACTTGGCTAAGTACAGAACACAAAAACTTTGAACAGTGAAAGCCAGGGTGAGATGTCAGTTGAGAGCAGCTTTTTTTACTGCTTGTCACTTCAGCTGTTCAGGTATTGTGGTAGAGCTGCACTGGTGCAGCCTGCCTGATCTTCAG